ACCGGCCAACGCATTAGGTGGCATACAGTTTAAATCAATAAACATTCACGATACAACTAATCTAACACGTGTACACCAGTGGGCGTTTAATGGCACTGAGACTACCATAACCAATTTAGTTATTGACTCAGTGCCCGTCACAGAGTCGGTGACTAATCGGTCGGATTTATTTGGCGCAATCAACACGTTGAAAAATATAACCGGATTCCAACTGCTTCATTCAGATGTGGCTACGTTACACACAAATAGCGTGTCGGGATTAAATAGTTGCACCTCAATTGATATTTATTCTAGATCATTAAAGTCGGTAGATTCCAATGCGTTTAATAATTTGCCAGCACTCAACAGATTGTATCTAGGTGGCGGCAATATAGAACGTGTGGCCGAACACGCCTTCACTATTGGTTGCAATACTAGTGCAAAGAATTTAAATCTAGAATTCAGTCTCCAATCTAGGGATCCGTTCACTAACCGGTCGTTTGAGTCGATCGGTTGCCCAACGACTATAAGGCTTATAAAGTGTGATATAAAATATTTGGATCAAGGTGAATTTGATGTGTTTTTGGCAGCTAATTTAAACAACCGTGTTGCAGATTTTAGCATCGATTGCACCGATAGTCGCAACCAATGGATTAAAGAGAAATACCCCAAAGTTTGGGTTGATTTGTATTGCAATTAATTTTATTTTCTAATATTAATAACACAATTATGAGAATAATAAATATGTTTAAATTTTTTTAAAATGTATTCTAAAGCTAAAGTTATATTTATGCAAATGTTAAGAAGTTACAATTTTTAAGTCTACAAGTCTATTGGTTTTAAATGTTTATATTTTAAATCTTAAATTAGGTTTGAAATGGCAGTTCTATTGAGAGAGAGTTCAATAATTAGAGAGATTTACCAACATGTTCACATTAGATATATATGGTGGGTATTTGGGATATGTAGTAGCAAGAATAAATTGTTTTTTTATTATTATGAATTATAGATAGTTAACATTTATTTTATAAATATACGAATTGCTATTTTTTGTTATGTTTATGTTTTTTCAATGATGGTTTTTATTTTGTTCAAATACAATAGTTTAACGTTAACTTAATCAGTAGTTATTTGGAATACGTATATCTGTTAATTTAGTAAAATAAAAATTATTTTAAAATACAAAGTAGAGAGACTAATATTTATTTATAATTTATAAATTAGGGAGGGAGGGAGTTGTTAAACGTTACAATGTTAAATTGTGTTGTACTTCCGATCACAGGGAGAGGGACGTAGGAATGGTAGTATTTAGCATATTCATAGAGCGGTGCTGTAATTTGGATGCATCAGCTCATGGCATGCCCGCTGACCCCCTGTGGCGGGCGTTTAACATCGCGAGCGCTAAACATACAGCCCTTGTAAACGATATCTATTCATTCAAGTCGGAAGTGTTGAAGGATCAGGGTAAATACAGTTACCTGTACCTGTTAATGGCACACCAGGGCTGGCACTGTCAACAGGCCGTCGACCAGATGGTGGCCGAAGTGCACTATCAATGGTATGCGTGTATTAACTACGGCTCACAACTCGTAGAGTACGGCATACCTGAGCTGACAGAGTATGTGCATCAAGTGTTGTACGTTTTAAAGGGTAATATTTACTGGTCAGCAATTTGTCCCAGGTATAAATCAGGACTTAATGATAATCATTATATTGATGTAGACAAGTGATCAATCTCATATTTTTGTTAAAAGTTACATAAAACTAATAAATCACATTCTTGATGAATGAATTGTTAAAAATTATAAACCCAATTAACATTATCTAAAATAAGTTTTATGAAATTTTGTAACAATAATTAACTTATTAATAATTAAATAAATAAATTATAATTTTTATATATTGATAAGAATTTTATTTAGAAATTTTTAAATTTATTGCAATTTAAAATTATACATTGAATGCAAATATAATAATGTAAATTAAATAATTAACAAATTATCATTAAAAGCATTTTGGTAAATTTTAAAATGTTATAATTTAATTAAAAATCAATTTTATTGTTTGATATAAAGCATGTGAAGGCAAGTGCTTCAAAAAAGGCTTCAAAAATAAAAAATAGCCCTATGTTATTCATACAATATTCATATGTTAAAAATAATTTGTCCCCTTTTCTGCCGTCTCATGATATAAAGTGATATATTTTTCTTAGCTGTGATTTTGGGTTTGTTTTGTTTTTTATTTAATAATTTAGTTTTAGTTTAGTTGGGTTTGTGTTGTTTAGTTGCAAATCTTAAGATACTCATCGATAGGTTGACCCCCACTCTCACGTCTCCCCTCTTCTATACAATTGATATTAGTGTTAATAAACAAATTCCAATCACTTTTGGATATATGGTTGAGATGTGGTAAACATGTGCCACTTTTAACCAGAGCTGGTATTCTCTGATAACTGGTGTTTCTGCCGCCGATATGAAGGGGCACTTCATCCAGACTTAGCAATTCTTCGTCCGCCATATTCCTGGTTATGGTTTGATTACGAATATTGGTGTTATAGAATTGGACAGCAAAATTGATTATGGTATGAAATATTGGATTCTCATCGTATAGAATGCATAATTGATCACTAAATTGTTTATTAAGCATAACAGCGATATCGAACCAAGTCGCTATTATATTTAACACAAAATTAATAAATATGTAAATTAATTGGATTACAATATACAGATATGTAATTGAATTTAATCATGCTCACATATTGGACATGAGGGAAAATAGCGAGAAAATTTGTCTTACTTGACTTTGAATAAGTGTAAAATTTTTATGCATTGTATGAACCAATTCATTTAAACTCTATTCAATACTTCAATATATTAGCTTCAATTTTACTCGTGTATACTCGTAGTATTAGCCATACATGTAATATTTATGTGTGTGATATTTATTAGTCTTTTAAATTATTAGTTGATATTTTATAAATTATCATAATTGTTTATATGATAAATAAATATAACTGCTTAATAAATATTTTCAATTAAGTTTAAAATTTTATTTTTTAATTATTATATTCATTATATTGGACATGAGGGAAAATAGCGAGAAAATTTGTCTTACTTGACTTTGAATAAGTGTAAAATTTTTATGCATTGTATGAACCAATTCATTTAAACTCTATTCAATACTTCAATATATTAGCTTCAATTATATGTAATAAAATTAATATATTTATAACAAGAAGTAGGGTTGCCAGATGAAACTAACCATAGAGAACACATCAAAGTTTTTTTTAAATTTGAATTATAGTATTAAATGAATATTTAATAGCTTATTTCAAACAGTATTAGAGTCGGAGGCAATGCATTGGCTATCAACCTATTTAGTGAATTGTTTAAAATGTTAAAATTTAAAGGTTATGACCACTAAGTCTGGCTCCGATTGAGTCGACCCCGACTTGTAAACAATCATGTGCCATGAGACTGTGTTAAGTCCGATCAAATACTTTTAAATATAAAATTGTTGGTCAACTTAGGCTTAACAAATTTAGCCATTTATAACCATTTATAAGGGGCCAGGAAAGGATCCCGAGCAGATATTTGGGAATATACCCAAAATATGGCTATTTTTGGCCTATTTTTCAGGTGAGATATTTTTAAAATCACCTTAAACATAATTTATGTTTTTGAGCAAATATATCTCTAATATTCATTAGAATCTTCAGTTATTACTCTATAAGATTGGCTATTATATCACACTTTGCAATCATGTCTTAGTGGTAAAAATGTCAAAACAAAAGTAGTGGTCGAAATAGACATCACTTACTTCTTTGACTCTCAGGGCAGCCATTTTTATTTGGAANAGTTATTACTCTATAAGATTGGCTATTATATCACACTTTGCAATCATGTCTTAGTGGTAAAAATGTCAAAACAAAAGTAGTGGTCGAAATAGACATCACTTACTTCTTTGACTCTCAGGGCAGCCATTTTTATTTGGAAAATATTGAATCTCTACTAAAATGAAGATCAATAGTTGCCAAAAATGATGGCCGATATATAATCTGAATTACTATTTTGGTTATTAATAAAAAATAATTTTCATTTTACTCTGCGATTTTCTCGCTACTTTTCCTCATACCCAATAATATAGAAGATCAATAGTTGCCAAAAATGATGGCCGATATATAATCTGAATTACTATTTTGGTTATTAATAAAAAATAATTTTCATTTTACTCTGCGATTTTCTCGCTACTTTTCCTCATACCCAATAATATAACATTTTCAGGTGTCATATTCAAAAAGCTTATATACAACAGGGCATTTTTATTTTTGCGAATAAAATCAGCGGTTATATGCAATATAAATTGCCTGTACAATATGTCAACAGCATTGTTATTAGTCAAACGCAGACAACGGCCTACTTTGCCGTAAACGGGTTGACCCGATTTTGAAAACCCGAAGAGATTTGTATATCCGGTGGCAAAAAACTCCGAGGGATAGTATTCGGGCACAAATGGCAGGGTTGACACATCGTATATTGAATTGGTCTCTAACAGCACTGACATTGGGTTAAAAGACGTAATGATTGAAAGTAGCGAAAGTGGATTCAAATCTGAATTTAATATGGTAGAATCAGCCAGTTGTTTCACTGGATTAAATATTACATCTTGGTTAGAAAATCCATCCGACGGCGCAATCAATTGCATCAATACTATCAATAATAATAATTTTATCATTATTTAGTATTAAGACAACAGATTATACAATACACGTAAAATTCAAAAACAGATTGTGATGAGTAATTAAAAATAAAATGCGTTTTTTAAATACAATAATATTGCATATATAATTAAACTGCTAATTAAATATTAGAAAAATTGATAGTTAGTAAAGCAATGCAGTTTGACTGGGGGTCAGCTCGCCATCTACTGTATATCACACACCTATTACTTAGATTATGATTTGTTAGACAGCGTTATACTCAATACCTGTAATTCTGAGTCAGAATTTCTGACATTCACTTTCAATACACCTCATTGGTTAATACGCAGTGCTTTCCGGCGGCCTTCATGAGGGCAACCCGTATCGGGTCGTCAGTCAGCCCGATGTGCGACATCACGTCCAAGTTGTTCACCCTCTCCATCATTATGCCACTAATATCGGCGGCCGAGTCCTGGTCTCTATATATATACAGGTGCGTACGCATGAGATGCACAACAAATGAAACAGAATTTAGCTAGCGACTTTTTAATATGTTTAATTCTATTATATACACATTTGTATCCAACAATTAACTTTATAACATATGATCAATATGGGTAATTGTAAGCCAATAGGCTGGTGATAGTAAGACTAATGATAAATCTATGGGTAATGATAATCCCAGAGTGGGACTCACAAGACAAAGAAAGTTTTAATATGGTCTCTCTCTCTCTCTCTCTCTCTCTCTCTCTCTCTCGCTTTCTGTATATGTATGTTTCTCGCTCTTTAAAATTACCTAAGTTCCCAATATTGTTCATAAGTGAAAAGTTTGTCATCGTATTTGGCCAAATTGACGGTCAGGTATGAGTCAAACCATCGCACTGTTACCAAAACGTGTCGCACGTACTGATCGTCGTTTAGCATATGTTTCATGAGTTTCACTGATTTTATGAGCAATACGTCATAACCGGTGGTGCCGTCGCTCTCACCCAACAGGTATTTTTTCTGCCACTCGCTGTACACAAGCGATACAAATAAAGAAATGATCGCAAAATTACATTATGTAAAGTAAACTTCATATAATGTACAGTAAACTTTAATATACAGTCTCTCTCTCTCTCTCTCTCTCTCTCTCTCTCTCTCTCGCACATCGGGCTGACTGACGACCCGATACGGGTTGCCCTCATGAAGGCCGCCGGAAAGCACTGCGTATTAACCAATAAAAGAAAGTTTTAATATGGTCTCTCTCTCTCTCTCTCACTCACTCACTCACTCACCCATACCTTATAGCGTATCTATTGTGAGGGTCGGTCACATCCAACTGAGCCATGTAGTCGTCAAACATGAATATCATAACATTCCAGTAGTGAATGGCGTGAAAATAAAACGGATTTTTAAGGTTAAAACAAAACTCGTCAAAACCGGTCAAATCAATGCCGTCCTCCAGCGGTCGACCGAACGCTTCGGTCAGTTGTAGGTTAGTGTCGGACAACGCGTTTGAATGGTGAGGATTGCGGTAACACTTGTCCGCCACGAGAGCCCGGATCTCAAACGAGACGAGCATCTCATTGGTGAGGCCCGAGTTTTTTCGGGCCGTGCCGTAGCGCTTGTTCCGAAACTCGACGGGTATCGACTCGACGAAACTCACTTTTGGGGCTAACTTGGTCAATATGTTGGGCATTATTATGGGCAGGCTGTTTTCAAAATATGCCTTACCACGTGATATAAATACAAATCACTAAAATTTATATGGTATAAGAAATTACTTAATTTACGGATAACAAATCAAAATGGTTTTATAGGTGCATCCAATTAGCAATATTTATTTTTAATTATATAATTAAATTTAGAGTAGAAATGTGGGGTTATTCGCGTATTTTCAAAAGTTTTTAATCCAAGTTTAAACCGAGTTATATAAAGTTTTATTTTTTTAACCTTAAAAATAGATTAATTAAAATTAATAAAACACATTTGCCATTGCATGTACCAAACAATAATAATACACAAACAACTTTTATATACAACAAATTTAATTATATGTACATCAGTATTTTAACCAACATCACTACAGCAATCATTTGATCATGTGGGCGTACATCACATTGATCATGATAATCTTATCCTACATATTATGGAAAGTGCTGTTTGAAGTCAAAGAGTCCATATATGACGTATGTATAGTTACATATATCAATTATGGTAACAATTATGACTATGGTAATTTTACTCAACACAGCATAAGCCGATTGGAGACGTGACGTACAGCCGAGAGATGGGTTACCCCAACACGTGGTTTATTGTAATGGATTCGCGAGAATTGCCCGTAAATCAGGTGAAGGCCTTTGAGTTATGCGGACAACAATTGGTGGGGTTTAGGGGTCCGTCGGGTGCTGTCCACGTGTTGTCCGCCTATTGTCCACATTTGGGCGCAAATCTCGGTGTCGGCGGACATGTGGTGACTGAGTCAGAGTCGGGCGACGACTGTATTCAGTGTCCATTCCATGGCTGGAGGTTTGGCGGAGACGGACAGTGCAAACAAATACCTAATCTCGAAAGTAATCGTAATGTTCTATGTGTTTATTTTTTATTTTGACAATTAAATGTTTTATTAAAAATTTATAAAATTCAGTATTACCTAGATTGATTGTAGTTAAATTAAAATGATTTGTATCTGTGAAAGCAGAGTATTGGTGTAAAACATTGTGCAATGTTTTAATAATATAAATATGGTGTGATTATATTATTAAGTATTAACTCTAGGATAATTATTTAATGGTAAAATATAAATTACCATGTTTAGTAATTAATAAAGTTTTATTTATCATATTATTTATGCACAAATAGAGAGCGAATTGAAAGCATTGAAGGCAAGGGTTAAGCGGTGGCGAGTGATGGAGCGAAACGACATGATATACGTCTGGCATCACAGCAGCGATGCAGAGCCCGACCACTGCCTCCCAGACCTGTCCAAGAAGTACAACATTCCCAACCTTACAGTACTTTCCAAATACACCTACAAGATATATACATCATCACAGGTACATTTGAATTATGGCAGTGTAAACCCTGTAATACATTTACATAATTAATAAACTTAATTAATAGCACAAGTACAGTACTTATCTAATAACTAATAAATTGTTGAATAATTATGATTAATATTTATAACCCTTACTTAAAACTAAAAAATTGAATACAAATTATTAAATTCACTTTATTTATAGCAAGTAATGGAAAACTTAATTGACATCGAGCACAACGACTATGTGCATGCACATTTCATTAAGGGCGTGCTGAGCGCCAAATTCATTATAACGGGCGATGGCACTGAGGACAGCCCGCTTGTGGTGTTGATCGAGCTATATGTATTTAACCGCAAAACGACCACAATGCATCTGGAGCACAGGGTGCGCACACCCGCCTACGACGAGTGCCACATCAAATACATTGGTATACCAGGGGTTACGCCCGCGTTGTTAATCGTGTCGGGTATTAGTTTGGCGCCCGAAAAGGTGCTCTTCACTATGCGATTCCTGAGCACTCCTACCCTATGGAATCAAATTGTATACTCGTTATTACAGCGCATGTTATCAATACAGGTACTAATTTTTGTTTTATTATTTTGTTTTTGTAGTTTACTGATTAGAAAACACACAAACTTACAAACTTAATAATAACCAAGTTTTAATTGAGGTTAGCAAGAAAACTTACTAATTTTTATTAAAGCAACAAGCTATAAAAATATTGAATTTTTAAAGTTTAAAATTTAAACAATATTTACCATAAATTTTTTTAAATAGCTACCATGTTCGGTATGAAAACTTGACATAGTAAAAACTCTTCCAGAGCCTTCCTAGCACACTATTACTAAAGACATTTATAGCCGTGGTAATTTATTGATATAATTTATTATACCATCATAATAGGTTTGGAATGATGGTTTAATCTGGGGCAATCTAAACAGTCCAGTACAGCCCATATTTACCAAAAATGATACCGTTATCGCCCGCACCCGACGGATATTCACTAAGTTTTACGATTAATTATTATTTTATTTATATAACTACCCCAATTATTATCATTTAGATAAATGTGATTGCCGAAATCTAGTTTAAAGAATATGTTAGAATGGTTATTGTCTTTATGCAGTGTTTCAAGTTTAAACTTTGCACAATCTTTTACAATAACTGAATGTTAAATGTTAATAAATGTGAATTAATTTGATTATGACAGTATAATTAAACTAACTAGTTGCAATAAATTAAATGAATATACTTATGAAAACTTTATTAATAATTTAAGCAGGAACAAATGCAAATTCATATCAATAAACTCAGACCACGTCTGTAACAGTCTTAACAGTCAAACTGTCGGCAATATGTTTCTCATTGACATCTCCTTTGGCCACAAACTGCACTGTCTTTGTCTCGTCAAACATGAAGAACCCGTTGTCCACAAAATGACCGCAAATTCCCGATCCGAGCTTCAGGTCGAGCGCCACGAATGGGGCCACGGCTTCGGTGGACAGCGTTATGTCAAACACGTGACTGACGGCAGTGGCGGTCACCGACACGACCTTCACATTGGGTGCAACGAGTTTGGCGTTTTTGGGCTCCGTTAGCAGTAGAAAACTCGACGCCTATTAACGTGTATAACGTAATTATTAATCACATCATTAACACTGTTTACTAACCTTGAAGTGCGGCGCCTCCACCCGTATCACGCATTAGCGTTCTTGGGCTCCGTTAGCAGCAGAAAACTGGACGCCTATTAACGTGTATAACGTAATTATTAATCACATCATTAACACTGTGTACTAACCTTGAAGTGCGGCGCCTCCACCCGTATCACGCATTGGCTCCGGTCGTCACACTTGGCTCTGGAGAGCAGGTCTGGGATGTGTTGCGTCCAAACAGTGGCCACAGAAAAGCCTTTCTCTGATTTGCATTTGGCGTACATTTCGGACACGGCTTTAGTCGACGACCAGTTATAGACACCGACGTAGAGAGCGTTTTTGGGCTCAGTTAGCAGTAGAAAACTCGACGCCTATTAACGTGTATAACGTAATTATTAATCACATCATTAACACTGTTTACTAACCTTGAAGTGCGGCGCCTCCACCCGTATCACGCATTCGCTCCGGTCGTCACACTTGGCTTTGGAGAGCAGGTCTGGGATGTGTTGCGTCCAAACAGTGGCCACAGAAAAGCCTTTCTCTGATTTGCATTTGGCGTACATTTCGGACACGGCTTTAGTCGACGACCAGTTATAGACACCGACGTAGAGGTCGTATACCTTCTCGCCCTCCATATCGTCGCGAACTAAGTCTACCTATAGTTTGGGTTCAGTTATTCATTACATTTCTGAGAGAGAGAGAGAGAGAGAGAGAGAGAGAGAGAGAAAGATAGAGAGAGAGTTGACATACTTTGAGTGTCTCATTGGTGTCTTCATATGCTGTTAACAACTGGTTTTGGAAGAACTGTTTCGCATACGACTGTAATATTTTCCATTTGCCCCCGTATTCAATGGACGCCCAGGTAGTGCCCGGCCAGATGTCATTCAACTGCCAATACAGGGCACCCATTGTGTTCCCGTTACCCGTCTTCGGGTCTATCGCTCGGTTGCGGCGATAAAACTCTGTCTCCACTTTCATAGCCATCGCTTGTATTACTTGTGATAAGTACACCAANTTGTGTTCCCGTTACCCGTCTTCGGGTCTATCGCTCGGTTGCGGCGGTAAAACTCTGTCTCCACTTTCATAGCCATCGCTTGTATTACTTGTGATAAGTACACCAAATCGGCGAACCGATCGACACCGCCCTTCGAGGGTAGTTTGAAATAAGTGGCTGGGTGAAATAAAAGTACATAAGAACTAGATTAAAAAGTATTCCAACATAGACCATGTTTTAAACTCTCAACGATAATGCTTTACAATAATTTAAAACAAACACACATGTTACACAATTAGATACAAACTAGATAATAACTTTAAAAAGCATCAAAAAACTTACCAATCGCCTTCTCGATGGATTTGGTACCTCCGGGGTGGTGCTGCCTGTGCTCCAGCGCCGCCCCGATCGGGAACGTCAGGTCAGTCTCGTTCAATACGGTCAACAGTGTCTCGACGGACGGGTAGGATATGTAGCCGTATTCGGAGGCAAACTTACCGCTGGGGTATTGGCGCCAATTCCATAGGGGTTTGTCATACGTATAGTAGTGGACATCGCCGTAACGGGTGTCGGCCAAATGGCCGGACACCCAATCCTCCTGAACCTCTTCATCGCCATTCGACGGACTCGAGCCCACAAACGTGCGGCTCATGTCGTGGTCCAGAATCAGGCGCCGGATGTGAGTGATGTAGAGCTCGATGTAATCGGCTTTATGTATGGCCGTCTCATTCTTGGGACCCGAACGCACATAACCCTCGTTCTCGTTGTTACCTATGGTTACAGACATACCGGTGCTCATTAAAAAAAACATGATAACATTTGAGTCGAGCGCTCACATACCGGCCCATATGGCGATAGACGGGTGGTGTTGCAGTCGGCACAGCTGTTGGGTCACCTCCTGGTCAACGGTGGCCAAGAAGGCCGGATCGGTGGGGTATAGACTCAGGCGAACATCATGTCCTGTCAATCATAATACCGAACTCGTCGGCCAACTCGTACAAGTAGTCCGACTCGTAGACACCGCCGCCCCAGACGCGCATCATATTCATGTTGGCATCACTAGCCGACTGCATCAGCCCACGCAAGTACTCCCGAGTGATGCGCTCCTGGAGGTTGTCGGCGGGTATCAAGGCAAACTTACCGCTGGGGTATTGACGCCAATTCCACAGGGGTTTGTCATACGTATAGTAGTGGACATCGCCGTAACGGGTGTCGGCCAAATGGCCGGACACCCAATCCTCCTGAACCTCTTCATCGCCATTCGACGGACTCGAGCCCACGAACGTGCGGCTCATGTCGTGGTCCAGAATCAGGCGCCTGATATGAGTGATGTAGAGCTCGATGTAATCGGCTTTATGTATAGCCGTCTCATTCTTGTTGCCCAATCGCACAAAACCCTCGTTCTCGTTGTTACCTATGGTTACAGACATACCGGCGCTCATTAAAACAATACGATAACATTTGAGTCGAGCGCTCACATACCGGCCCATATGGCTATAGACGGGTGGTGTTGTAGTCGACGCATCTGTTGGGTCACCTCCTGGTCAACGGTGGCCAAGAAGGCCGGATCCGTGGGGTATAGACTGCAGGCGAACATCATGTCCTGCCAAATCATAATACCGAACTCGTCGGCCAACTCGTACAGATAGTCGGACTCGTAGACACCGCCGCCCCAGACGCGCATCATATTCATGTTGGCATCCCTGGCCGACTGCATCAGCCCACGCAAGTAGTCACGTGTGATGCGCTCCTGGAGGTTGTCGGCGGGTATCCAATTGGACCCTTTGGCGTAGAATGGCTGTCCGTTCACCTGGAAGTAAAACGTGAGCCCAATTGGCTTCACCGGCGTCTGTATCACTTCGATCGTACGGAAGCCGATCCGTCGGGTCTGAACGGACTGTTCGCCGGGCGAGTCCGGGAAAACGGCGCTCACTTTAAGCGCGTACAGTCGCTGAGTAGCTTTGCCCACGCCGTTAGGCCACCACTGCTCCACATTGTCCACCGGGATGATTAGTTTCACCTTGCTGGTGCCGTCCGCACCCGGCGTTAGCGCGTACTCCTGGCCAGCGATAAGTTCCCGATCGTCCAGATGTACTGTCAGTTTGACGGTTACGGCGGCCGCCGACTCGATGAACACACCGGTGTTGAGCTGCCATTTGGTCGGCGAGTCTTTCACGGTTGTGGTCTCGACGGTGATGTCGCGCACCACTGACCGGTCGTACGCCTCCAGACCGATGGGTTTCCATATGCCTTGTGTGGGAAATGCCGGTCCCTTTTGGGGGAGAGATTAAAATACATATAAAATTAAGGGTACAGTTGGATGAGTGGGGGGACAGGTATGTGATGGACAGGTATGTGATGGACAGGTATGCTAACCCAATCCCAGCTGAATGATGCGGGCATTTTGCGGATCATCTGGTTGTGACACTCGCCGCGATACTCTTTGGGGAAACACTCTGTTTTGTCATAAAACACACAAAATAATTATAGCATTAATGTAAAAATCTAAGGTCTGGTGCGATAACACATACGGGGTATCATATCGTAGTGGTACTTGTCGTGATGCCATTGGTGCTGTCGACGCGAGTAGGTTAGCGCCGACTCAAAGGCCACGCGTATAGTGTTTTGGCCACTTTTGACCACTTTCTTCACGTCAAACACGTACCGCACGTATTGGTTGACTGTCTCGCCGACCAACTGGTCGTTCACGTATATCTTGGACACTGTGTCCACCCCTTCGGCCACCAAATTGACCACTTGTTTGGTAAGCAGTGCCGCCGGGACTACCATTTAGTAGTGGGGGAAATGATTATTATAACATTAGTAATAGCAGTGCATATCAATCGATACATACCGTCAAACGTGCGCTCATACGTCCAGTTGTCCCACGAGACCCACCGGTAATTGACATCGTTATAACCGCTGAGCAACTCCTCGGCCAAGTGGCCACTGGCCCGCAGGTCTGTGTATATAGTGCCCGGCACTGTAGCCGACGATTTGATGGCTAAACGTAATGGTAATTATGTTAGAAAGTAGTGTAATATTCAATTGTTGAGTATTTAATACTTACATTTGTTTTGACAATAAGTCGTCCATTGGTTGCCGTTTAGCGATAGGTGTTCGCCGGCAAAACAGGCGCCGATTAAACACGAAATGTACACCAATTGGTGTATTTGTGTACACATTGTTTACTAAATATAAAACAACCAAGATTATTTATTGAAAATTAATTATCTAACCTAAATTTAATAATTATTTAATTATAATAATAAAGTAATTATTAAATGAACAAAATGATACTCTCTTTTACACGCTTTTATATATTATAAGGTAACAACTATTATCATTTTAATCATTAAGGCATAATGTGTGAACTTAGACATTTGTTAAATGATCTTTATAAATTTTATCTTACCACTTATTTCAATATGTGTTCTCTCTCTCTCTCTCTCTCTCTCTCT